CCCAGCTAGAAATTTAGATCAGATCACCCTGTGAGGTTACTTTAGTCACTGAGCTTGTCAGGCCCACTATCCAGCCCCCAGAGCTTGTTGTCAGGACTGCTAGGTAGTCCTGATTTCATACAGACGTTCATTCAATTAGGAGTGACTTGTGGGGGTCTCTCCTTCCCCTCACCCCACCCACACCTGACCTCCCACACTTCCCTAAAGTTACAGACTAGGCTCTTTCCTGCTCTTACTGGGAAAAGAACAGGCTCTTCCCTGGTCTTACGGGAAAAGCTTGCGTCCTCCACACATCTGCTCCTGGGCCACTCCAGCTGGGGCTATGCACTGGGCCCCACAGAAGACAAGGCTGGGCCTGCTCCTGCAGTCAAGCACCCAGTGGGGGAAGAGGCCCAGCATGCCCTGAGGTGCAGCCCCGGGGGTGCAGGAACAGGGTGCAGCTGGAATGCCACTCCCAGTCCAACCTTAGGCCCTGGGAGTCATCGCATCACTGGACTCCTTTCCCCCGCCTCTTTTCAGCGATGTCAGCCCTTCACTATATCCCTGGGCCATATGCTGGTGACATCCATAGTGGCTGGCACAAGGTGGGTACTTGCCAGGTCCTGCAGATGAGGAGTGCAAGCCAATCCAATGCACTCGGGAATGAGGTCAGGCGAGGCCTGATCCTGGACACCAGGATGCAGTGGCAGCCCCTGCTCCCCAGCTATTCCTGGTGCCCACTGGGCAGAGATTTCTCTCCCTACTGCCCTCTGCGACTCTCAGGTCCAGCTCCCACTCATCTCTGGGTCCCTCCGACCTGGCATCCTGCTCTGCATGGGGTCAGGGCCGCTCAAGAGCCGGAAAACACCATCGTCCAGGGTCTGCTCCCTCTTCCCCCCATCTCCCCAGCCAGGGACTCGGTGGCCAGGAAGACCAACACCAAACTCCAGGTGGCAGGGGACGTGCACTGCAGCACACCATCCTTGGTCCCTAGGCGGTGCCCTCCGCGGGGGGCCCACATTGCGCAGTGCGCCCGCCCCTCACCCATCTCCCCACTCTCTGCCCCCTGGAGGCCCTCCCAGCCCCACCCCATGCTAGCTTCCTTCCCACCCGGCCCCTCCCTTGTGATGGCACAACCGGTGCCCTGCCTGCTTCCGCCCTGTGTCATGCAGCCTGGCTGACTTAAGGTGGAGGGCCCTCTGCACAGGTAACCACCCTCACATTCCGCTGCTCCATACCCGCTGCTGCTCCGTGGGCTCAGCTCCTCCATCCGGCTGCATCGCAATGAGCGCTCCCCTGAAGTTGCGCGGTGGGTGGTCCGACACCCGGCCTGTCACTGCCCAGATCCAGGACATCACCGACAAGGTACATGGGCTGGGTCTTCCAGAGCTCCTGATCTGTTCCTGCCCTGTGGCTGAAACCCACAGGGCTAGGGGCAGGTCTGGGACAGGCACCCAAGGGACTGGACTTCTGCAGACTGCGTTCGGGGGTGCTCAGAGGGAAGGGCCTGATGTGTTTGTCCTCAGGCGCTTCAGTTGAATCAGAGAGACCAGGAGACAGAGCAGGTGGGGTGCAAGGGAGCCATCAGTGAACCTGGGGAAGGGTATGCAGGGTCCTAACCTTCTACTCTTACTCTGCTACTCCTTGTGTAAGTTTGAAATTCGTTCCAAATGAACAGATTTTATTATTTATTTATTTTTTAAATATATCTTTATTGACTTCAGAGAGAGGAAAGGAGAGGGAGATAGAGAGAGATAGAAACATCAATGATGAGTCACTGATCAGCTGCAGCCCCCAANTAAGCCTCAGAAATTCCCCACTTGTTACAGGAACTTTGAAAGTGCATAAGCTCATTCAGGAGAGAGGAGTTGCTGTCTTGAGGCTACTTAATTGGGTGTTGGTCACTTGAAAGTGACAAGAGGGCAGTCACCACTGCTGTTGGGAGGCAGGTCTTCAGGTCGGGCCTTTAGCTGGTGGCTCTTAGAGGACAGGGGCAGGGACACCATTTGTTTTTGGTTTTTTTAATTTTTTTTAAAACTATGTATTTATTGATTACAGAGAGAGGAAGGGAGAGGAAGAGATAGTTGAAACATCAATGATGAGAGAGTCATTGATTGAACGGGCAACCGGGCACATGCCCTGACTGGGAATCGAACCCCGATCTCCTGGATCCTAGATCGATGCTCATACACTGAGCCACGCCCGGCCGGGCCAGGGACACCATTTGTACTGACTCTTCCCCAAGCAGTCTGGGCTGCAGGTGAGAACAGAGGTCAGAGAGGGAGCCCCGCCAGGATGTCAAAGTCCCAAATCCTGTCTCAGCCTCCTGGAGGAGTGCCCACCAGTCCTGACCTTGGCCTTCCCCTGCCCTCTGCTGCCCCCTGACCCCTTGAGGGCTGGTAACTGGCATCTTCCTAACCATGCCTGGGCCTCTTGTGCTCCCCTTGGCATTAGTCCAGCCCATCTTTCTCCTGGTCAGCAGCAGGGTCAGTGAACTGTCACTGCAGGCGGTGGCATCACCTGCATTTAGGTTTTCTCACAATTGCTTGCAAACCACGGGGGGCTTTCCTCCCTCCACTCCTGAAACAGGCCAAGAGGGAGGGGTTCCTTCCAGGTGCCTGTGTGGCGGGTTTGTGTGTCACTCATCCCCTCAGGCTGTCNGAACTGTCACTGCAGGCGGTGGCATCACCTGCATTTAGGTTTTCTCACCATTCCTTGCAAACCACGGGGGACTTTCCTCCCTCCACTCCTGAAACAGGCCAAGAGGGAGGCGGTTCCTTCCCAGGTGCCTGTGTGGCGGGTTTGTGTGTCACTCATCCCCTCAGGCTGTCCACTGTCCTCAGACCNAGCAGGGTGAGATCCCTGCAGACCAAGCAGGGCACCTTGCACGAGCAAGGGCGCTACAGGTAAGCGCTGAGACACAGGCGGGCCCGCAGTGAGAACCCTGCCGGCTGCACAGAGGGCAGAGGAGCTGCAGGATGGGCCTGCCTCCCCCCGCCTGACCCTCCCTCCTGCCCTGAGCTGCCCTGACTCCAATCTCCTCCCCCTTCCTACCCCGAGGTAGAGCCCCTCCCTGAAGGCTCTGGGAGGCCAGCAGCCTTTCTTCCTTTGCCACAGTGACTCTCTTGCATGTAATGAGGGTGATCCCCCTTGGCCCCCTCCCACCAGCAAGCCTGCTGCCTGTAGCAGCGTTAACTAAAATCCTCTAACCCTTTAGAACTAGTCTGGTCACTCCAGCCAAAGGCAACATGCTCCAGTGCCTACCAGTTAATCTAGGTAGCAGTCAGACACCTGGAAACTAGATTAGGTTTTAAATTAAGAAAAAACAGCCAACCAGCCAACCTGCTCTCTCCTTCCTCCATATAGATGCTCGGCTAATGAGAGGCCAAGATCCTGGGAGACAGGAGTGAACCAAAAGTATGGTTCCTGTTTGAGACCTAGGATCAGGATGAGCCTCTGCCCAAAGGGACTACATCTCAGGGAGTCATCTAGAAATGCAGGAAAGCGCCTTTACCTGCACAGCACTTCCTCCGCTGCCTTATCTGTTACAGGAGAGCCTAGGAACAGCCTAAGTGCCCCGTAGGAGAAAGTTAAGACAATTAAGGCCCATCTGTAATCTGGAAGATTAAATCTAAAACTAAAATTAACTTTAGTAAAATTCTAAACTGTTTTAAGTTTAAANGTTATAGGAGAGCCTAGGAACAGCCTAAGTGCCCCGTAGGGGAAAGTTAAGACAATTAAGGCCCATCTGTAAGATAGAAGATTAAATCTAAAACTAAAATTAACTTTAGTAAAATTCTAAACTGTTTTAAGTTTAAAACAGTAATTAAAAATGATATAGTCGTCCAAATGAACTGTTTGTGGGTGACGTCAAAAAAGAAAAACAGGGTATAAGCTTGTATATAGGTCATAATGATGAAAATATAAGCANTATAGTTGTCCAAATGAACTGTTTGTGGGTGACGTCAAAAAAGAAAAACAGGGTATAAGCTTGTATATAGGTCATAATGATGAAAATATAAGCATTTCCCACACCTAGAAGAGAAAGGGCATGTGGGACAGTGAAAGCACACCTCGGGAAGGGCAGTGGGATTCCGGAATTGGTCGCTGCACTTTCTCCTGAGTGCGACCAGTGGGACTCGTCTCCATGGCCAAGAGCAGACACACCTTGTAGAGGTTCTGGAAGGGGCGGGCCACTGAGGTGGGTTGGTAGCGTTTGCCCAAGGTGGCCGCTCCTGTGGGTCAGTGGCCCTTGCAGGAGGGGAGACACTGANCTTGTAGAGGTTCTGGAAGGGGTGGGCCACTGAGGTGGGTTGGTAGCGTTTGCCCGAGGTGGCCGCTCCTGTGGGTCAGTGGCCCTTGCAGGAGGGGAGACACCGAGCTTTCCTTCCCTCTGTCCCCCAGGTGAAGCCCCAGCTGGAGGAGAAGGAAAACAGAAAGTTCTGCACTTTTAAGGCGACTGAGTACAAGAGCCAGGTGGTTGCGGGCATGAACTACTTCATCAAGGTGGGTGTGGGCTATGTGGGCGCTCACGCAGGCTGGGGTCCGCAGGTGCCAATTTGGGTACTTAAAGGGGGGCCTGGAGCCCTGGCTGGCGTGGCGCATTTGATAGAGTGCGGCCCGTGCCCCGAAGGTTTTCGGGTTTAATTCCCGGTCAAGGGTGGGTACCTGACGGGCAGGTCCGATCCCCGACCAGGTTGGGGCGGGTGCAGGAGGCAACCAATNACCTGGAGCCCTGGCTGGCGTGGCCCATTTGATAGAGTGCGGCCCGTGCCCCGAAGGTTTTCGGGTTTAATTCCCAATCAAGGGTGGGTACCTGACGGGCAGGTCCAATCCCCAACCAGGTCAGGGCGGGTGCAGGAGGCAACCAATCCATGTGTCCCTCTCACATGGATGTTTCTCTCTGTCNCGCAGGTGCCAATTTGGGTACTTAAAGGGGGGCCTGGAGCCCTGGCTGGCGTGGCGCATTTGATAAAGTGCGGCCCGTGCCCCGAAGGTTTTCGGGTTTGATTCCCAATCAAGGGTGGGTACCTAGAAGGCAGGTCCGATCCCCGACCAGGTTGGGGCGGGTGCAGGAGGCAACCAATCCATGTGTCCCTCTCACATCCATGTTTCTCTCTGTCCCCCCCTCCCTCTTTCCCTTCCCTCTAAAGAATCAATGGAAAAANTCCATGTGTCCCTCTCACATCCATGTTTCTCTCTGTCCCCCCTTCCCTCTTTCCCTTACCTCTAAAGAATCAATGGAAAAAATATATTCAAATGAGGAGTAACAAAAAGTAACTAAAAGATAAAGGGGTCCTGCGGCAGCCCCCGCCTTCAAGGGGCTCTTCCTCTCTCCAATGAGTGTGCATGCCCTGGCCAGTGCGCTTAGTTGGTGGGGCGTCCTCCCTGCACCAAAAGGTTGCCTGTTCGATTTCTGGTCAGGGCACGTGCCCAGGTTTCAGGCTTGATCCCCAGTAGGAGGCATGCAGGAGGCAGCTGATGGGTGTTTCCCATCGATGTTTCTCTCTCTCCCTTCCTCTCCCTCTCAAAGTCAATAAAACCATTTAAAAAGTAGTAAAAAATAAAATGAGTGTGCATGCACGCATGCAGGCCTCCAAGGAGGAGAGGACTGAGCCTTTCGGGAAACTAAGGGCTCTGNCGTGCATGCACACATGCAGGCCTCCAAGGAGGAGAGGACTGAGCCTTTCGGGAAACTAAGGGCTCTGAGGAGCAAATGTAGGGTGCCAAGGGTGCTGGCTGGGGTGATGGGCATCTGCCACGCCTGAAGGAGGAAGATGGGAATGTCGTCAGCCTGACTGCTGATGCCCTGAAGGGACACAGCCTCCCACAGTCCAGTCAAGCATGGGGACTTGGGGTCCAAGGCAGCNACATGGAGACTTGGGGTCCAAGGCAGCACCTGCCCCCCTCACCCGACTCTCTCTTTGCAGGTTCAAGTTGGAGATGACGACTATATACACATTCGTGTGTATGAAAGTCTCCCACATGAGAACAAGCCCTTGGCCTTGCACGGCTATCAGACCAACAAGACCAAGAAAGATGAGCTGGCCTATTTCTAGTTCTGAATCTTGAACTGAGCCCATCATCCACGTGGTTCTGTCGTCTGTGATCATGTTTGGGTCCTGAATGAGCGATGTCTCTACGCTGTGCCACAGCTGATGGAGGGGCTGTTCTGCACCAATCTGGTGTCTTTATTTCTGACTTTAATAGTGTAATTTCCCCCCAATCAATGACCTTAACTAAATTGCTTTCAAAGAGGGCTTAGGTTACCTCTAAATACATATATTTTTAAGTGTTTGCAAATTCCCTCCTTTGTTTTGGAATTTTTTTCTTCATCTAAAACCACAATCACTAGGTAGATGTATCCAGACATGTTTGTAAAGTTCCTTCATGACCACACGCTGGCCTGAGCCACCTTGAGACCCCTTCCATCTGAGGTGGAGAACCCAGCAAGCTTGCCCTGGGTCACAGGAAGTGGGTGGTGGGCCCAGGATTCCAGGAGCCCATTTTAACCACAGCTCTACACACTGTTGCCGGGACTCTGGTTCCTGTCTCCAGACCTTGGTTTCCCCGCATAAATAAGAGGATTTGAAGAAAGCAATTCTGGACCATGAGCTCTAGACATGCTGACACAATCATAGACTTTACGTTTCCATAGCTATACGCAGATGCAATGACACTGGTACCAGTGTGTCCTGCAAACCACCTGTGCAGCCGTCGTGAGCCTGGGAGTCCATGAGCTCATCCAACGAGCTGAGCTACATGTGCTCAGAGCCTGAGCATTTGGCAAGAGCATGTCTGTTTCAACAATGCTCTTGGTTTCCACTGGGGTCATGCCCACAGTGAAGTCAGACCACTGGTTGTTTTGCCCAATGTGTTTGTATGAAGTAGGATTCAAAAGAGTGCCCCAGAGTAAGAGTAATGAGTGGTGAAATTTCTATCTGTGTGGCTCAGGCTCAAGGTAGATGTGTACCTGAGGATTAACGTGGGTCTGACACTTCTGAACCCCGTGTGGCTTTCCTGGGGCGCCGGGCATTTGGTGCAGAGTCAGGCTGTCTGGGTGTGAGGTCGTGGAGGGCATGGAGGGGTGGGATGGTCAGCATGCAGAGNGGCCTGAGGATTAACAGGCTGTGACACTTGTGAACCCCGCGTAGCTTTCCTGGGGCACCGGGCATTTGGTGCAGAGTCAGGCTGTCCGGGTATGAGGTCGTGAAGGGCATGGAGGGGTGGGATGGTCAGCATGCAGAGCCTGGAGTGCAGCAGTAAGGAATCTCTGAATAATGAGCTGTGTGTATCCCAATCTGTCCATGAACTATAGGAATAAAACACTTTCAGGAGACGCTCTTAGTCTCAGCAAACAGAGTCAAGCAAGTTTTAACTGCAGTGATGACCTAGCACTGTTCCTACTTGGGACTTCCAGGGACAGGCGGGGGAGATAGCATTTGGGTGCTAAGCAGGGCTGACAGCCCACGCCCTGCAGGCAGGGAGCCCCCAAGGACACAGGTCTCACTGACCATGTGGACTGAGTCCGGGCTGTGCTCCCAGGGTGGTAAGACATTTGGGAAATGAGAGAGGTGGCAGTTACACAAGGCTGAGGTCTAAATGCCATTGGGCTGTGCACTTTAAGATGGTTCCGTGTGCTCAGCTAGCGTGGCTCAGGGGTTGAGCATCAACCTGGCATGCAGGAGATCACGGTGCCATTCCCTGTCAGGGCACATGCCCGGGGTGCGGGCTCCATCCCCGGTAGGGAGCATGCAGGAGGCAGCCGATCAATGACTCCTTATCCTTAGGTGTGTGTCATGTGACTTTGACCTCAATAAAAACATACCGCAGGACAGTAAACCAGAGCCGGTTTGGGGANACGTGGGACAGTAAACCACAGCCAGTTTGGGGAACACCTTTGACAGAGGATTTGGGGAACAGTGGCAAGTACTGAAATCTGCACTCTGACAACAATCTCCCACATGAATTATCATAATTTTTTAGGTTTTAAGCTATGGAAAGTAAAAAAGATCAATTCTAATTTGGACCTAACCTGTGTGAAAAACTTCCGCCAGGGGACAGGCTTAAAATCTGGATGGGGATTCTACACACAGGCAGCCAGGGCCTCAGCTGTGGGCGTGACAAGCGGCACATGTGGGTAGATGAGCCCAGAAAGCTCAGGCTCAGCAACGCGGGCGTGGGAACATGGAGCTCAGCCTCCCGAGGAAGCTCAGGTTTCCACAGGAGACTCACACCCTGTGGAGGCTCCCGGGGTCCCCAAGGTCCTTCTCTTAGTACAGACAGCTCAGCCCCTTCTCCCCATGGTTGGGGCTTTACAGCCAAAGGGCACAGAAGAGAAAGTCTCAGGCCGCGCCTGGTTCATGGCTGTACAGAAGCTCCACGGAGGGACTAAGTCTCATCACTCTATGGGGAGCATAGGGAAGTAAAAGAACAAAACCGAAAGTGGGGCCAAGCCCCTGAAATAAAACTAAAGAACCAAGAATCGAACAGTGTCCGCGGAGCACGCTTCCCTTCACGTTGGCTGCACACAGGGCATAGGCCCAACACCCACAACCTCACTTTCCAGTGGGGTTTCAGCATCTCACGGAAGACAGATACATTCAGTTCTTTGCCCAGCCCTAGATGGCTCTCACTATTGAAATAAAAAAAGAAAACCTTTTTCTCATTGGCCGTCTCCCCAGCTCTACTTGGCAGTGGCAGAATTTGCCATTAAAGGCCCAGGGCCCTGGGTGACTGGCTGGTCCCTACGAGCACCCTGTAGGGGATGCTGCACCCCCCACCAGGCTGCAGGCCACTCCTTCCTCCTCCTTGCCCAGTGGACCCTGCAGGGACCAGGAAGCAGGGCTCTGCCCCTGGGCTCTGAGAAACCCGGTCCTCGGATACAGGGGCCGAGTCAGGGGCAGGTGCTCCGACCCTGTGCACAGGCCACGCGAGCACTACTGCACGGGAGGTAAGACACTCAGGAGTGGGCAGTGGGCGAGGAAACAGCAGAATGGTGCTGGGAGCTCCATGGAGAGAGGCATCCCTTCTTTACAGGGTATTTTCTACAAAGTGAAGACTGTGCTACTGGAGGTGTGCAGGCTCCTGCCTGTGGGCACGGAACCGTGTGTGGGGGGCAAGGGCTGGCCTCAGGAACTTTGTTTCCCAGGGGCCACATCACGGCACCCGTGCCTGTATCTCCCTGTCCCCTCCAGGTTGTGGGCTCCCAGGACATGCAAACCTCTGCACCCCGAGAGTAGGGGGTGGGGGAGTGCCTTCGAGGCAGGCTGAGTTTTTGGAGAGGGAACCCCTGCCTGCAGTGATACCCAGGGCACCCCAAAATTCTGGGCAAGTGGAGCCAAGGAGGTCATGTTGGCAGTGGACAACTGGACTAGTGTCAGGGCCTAGGGGTGAACCGTGTCAACTGTGGGAGCAGGTGCCCTCGTCTGCCTTCCATACATATCTGAACACTAACCCCCATGGCACGATGCATGTCACCAGCAGTGGGTGGCAAACACACAGTGCATGAGCTAATGTGCCATAAACTAGGTGAATTTTCCAGAAGGAGCCCAATGTGGCNTTCCCCTCCAGGTTGTGGGCTCCTAGGACGTGCAAACCTCTGCACCCCGAGAGTAGGGGGTGGGGGAGTGCCTTCGAGGCAGGCTGAGTTTTTGGAGAGGGAACCCCTGCCTGCAGCGAGGCCCAGGACACGCCAAAATTCTGGGCAAGTGGAGCCAAGGAGGTCATGTTGGCAGTGGACAACTGGACCAGTGTCAGGGCCTAGGGGTGAACCGTGTCAACTGTGGGNACTGGACTAGTGTCAGGGCCTAGGGGTGAACCGTGTCAACTGTGGGAGCAGGTGCCCTCGTCTGCCTTCCATACATATCTGAACACTAACCCCCATGGCACGATGCATGTCACCAGCAGTGGGTGGCAAACACACAGTGCATGAGCTAATGTGCCATAAACTAGGTGAATTTTCCAGAAGGAGCCCAATGTGGCATCTTTCCAGATACCCTCGGCCCTGCACCAGCCTTCCCTTTACTGGCATCTCCACACCTTGCTCAGCGGGGCCCTACAGATACTTGTGGGTTACAAGGTGGTCCCCCTGATACTCGTGATGAGATTTGTGGACTGATTGAATTTTCAGGGTCCTGGGGAGGTCCCCTCCAAAGTGACTGAGCAGACCTGTGGGTGTCTGGGCCAATGGGCATTATCCTGTCCACATGGTGAAACAAACGCCCAGCAAACCCCGGAACAGCAAAGTAGGAACAAAAATCCTAAAGCAGAAACCAGCAGGGAAGGGTCAGAATGACAACAAAGGCATTTGGCATAATTCACCCGGATGCAAACGGTGAACACAAAACTCCTTCTCAGACACACACAGATACAGCCCACACCCGACTGCAGCCAAGGGCCCAGCTCAAGCTGCACAGGGTAAATGCAATGGTGGGAGTCCATGTGGCCCTCTGGGGGCAGCGGCCCCTCCCACCATGTCCCTCCCCAGCTGGGGAGTATGCCCCCAAGAGGGTGACCACCAAGCTGGTTTTCCAGGGAGGCCCAGGAGCCTCTGTCGGGGAGGGGACCTGGGTCTGCAAGTTACAGATTTCTGTGATCACTCTGTTATTTTTAAAAAGCACGACTGGCATGTTTTCACAATTAAGACCAGTTGATGCTGGACACACAACAGAAAAAAAATACCAAGTGTAGGTCACAGCTCTAAGGCAGACGTTACATTTCTCACAGGGATGGAGAGGGAGACGCCGACACACTGTGTCAGTCAGCGGGTGGGCCCAGGAGGCCCTCACAGCACCGTGGCCTGGACAACAATCTCCGGGTTCTCAATGTCCCTCTTGCTCTGGACCATCCTCAGCTCCAGCTGGGCCGGGCTGGGCTTGCGGCCTTCCCCGGCCTGGGCTACAGAACAAACAAAGTGGTAGTGTCCGGGCAGGGCAGGGAGATCGCCTCTGGAGTTCCCGGCTCAGCGGGGAGCTCCAGACGTGGCCCCCATTCCTAAAGGCCAAGGGCAGGGGGACAGCAGGAGCCACGGGGACCCCATTCACAGTAGAGTAAGAGCTGCCTCTTCCCCTCCCACCTTTCTACCCAGGCCTCAAATGCAAGAGGCTCTCAGGAATGCAGAGGTGCCCCACGGGCCAGCCAGTGGTACCTTTTGCACACTTGATGGTCCGCTGCAGAACGTGGTGCATGGCTGACACAGTCTTCTCACAGGCCACCTGTGGGGGGAGGAACCACTCAGCCCCTGCCACACTCAGGACCGTCCACTCACCGTGTTCCCCACAGCTGCCTGCAAGAGCACTGTCTCCACCCTCAGTCATGGGGCGCTGGCCTGGCCACCACGTGCTCCCCCAACTAGCTGGGCCTTTCCCGCACAGAACAGCCAAGCAGATGCCTGGCTAACTAACTAAACTGCCCCCTCTGGACCACAGACAGCTCTGGGGAGGGCTTGTGACTCAGGACCCTCAATACTGCCTGGCATGTAGTAGGTGCTTAATAAGTGTTTCTGGTTGGAATTAATTATAAAAAATCTACATGGGAAATACCTCCTGCCCCGAGGTTGACCACGGTCATCGGGCACAGTCAAAGTCTCACAGACTCCGGGCTTAGCAGGTGCTGGGAAGCGAGCAGAACTCCCTCCCTGACTCCAGGATCTGGAGTTTCTCCCAAGCTCAGACTCTGCCTTCAGACGCCCAGCAGCGAGACCTCCTCTGGCACCACGATGCCACTGCCTGGACTAGATGGAGCTCCCGCTGCTGCCAATCACACTGGCAGGCCTGCTCTCACGGCCGGTTGGCCATCAGGGGAGGCAGGAGGGGGTGAAACCGGAAGTCCGGCTCCTCTCTCCTGCCCCTGCCCCCCACAACTGCCCTTCCCACATTCGGGGGACAGCAGGCCTTGCACACCTGACATTTCTACGTTGATCCAGGACAGACCTGCCTGTCGGCTGATGGGACATCACACAGAATGATTTGATAAGGTACCATGAGGCTGCACACGACGCAGGAGGAGCTCAAACACTGTGCCTCTGGGTCCTGAGCTGGACCGGGAAGCGCACAGGAGAGACCTCGCACCCCAGTTTACCAAACCAGCCCAGCGACTACATTTGAGGACATGCTTGCACTGGCTACTCTGCTGGAGAAGGCTCCCCGTTACCGAGGCTGCAGCACCTCAGTCCTGAGCCAAAGCCCTCAGATTTCAGCTGGCACAGGACACTGTGGGCTGCGCCAGGCGCCCTGCTCAGGCACAAGAGACGTGGTGAGCAGGGCCGGGTGGGACTCAGCCCACATGTGGGACATGCCAAGGAAACCACTGCCTGCCCCACCCCACCAAGCTCAAGTACACCTTGAGCCCTCCAGCTCTCTGGACGTGGTAACCACTCCCCACAGAGATGAACAGATCAGCTGTAGCAGGAGGGGTACGCCCTGCTGACCTTGAGGTTGTTGGGGTGCTTGTGTGTCCACGCCAGGAGCATGGCGGCAAAGAGGTCCCCGGTGCCCACAAAGACAGCGTCCACCTTGCGAATGTCCATGCGGATGCGCTCTATCGCCATGGAGCCATCAGGGCGCCCTGGGGGACAGCATGGCCTGCTGGGACTCCAGATCCTCGCCAGCAGAGGGCCAGCCCAGGCCTGGGCCCCAGCCTGCCCTCCTGCCTGCTCACCTCCTGCACTATGTGGTGGGGGGGTAATGTCACCCACGGAGGCTCACTTGGACAGAACCCAGGACTCAGGGCCCTACTGGTGCCCTCAGTTCCCCACAGTGGATGCCCCACCCCAGGGGAGAAAGTAAAGATGGGAGCCCCAGATGACTACAGTCAGGATGGACTGGGGATAATTGTGCAGCTGATGAGGGGCCGGCTCACGTGATGTGGAGGGAGCCTGAGTAACCAGGGCACCTGGAGCTGTAGAGACTGTGAACTTACTGAAGTGTGTGTGTGTGTGAGCAAGTGTGCGAGCATATACATGTGTGAGCAATGTGTGAATACACGAGTGCATGACTATGTGAGCGCGTGTGTGCATGTGTGAGTGTGTATCTGTGCATGTGTGCTCCTCCACACAGATGCAGGGGGGCAGTGAGAAGCAGCCTGTGGGGCTGCTCTCTGGGTCAGTGGGTATGACCCCAGCCCCCATGTCATTCTAACGCTGTGCAGAGAACACCAATCAGGTGGCACTCTCATGTGCACAGAACACCAACCCAGGTGGCACTCGTGATGAAACAGTGAACATAGCAGAGCAGGCAGGGCCCTCCCAGTCCCAGCTCTGTAGGAGGACAGGTGTATGGACACCTGGTTTCGTGGGAGCCTCGCTCCTGCAGGGCTGTTCCCTGTGAGTCTCACATATAAGTCCAGCCGTTGCTCTCTGCAGCTGGTGCCATCGTGCGGGAGGTGTCGGCACCCCATGCTGCATGGCACTCCAATTCAGGGAAACCGGTTCCCATTCTTNCGGGAGGTGTCGGCACCCCATGCTGCATGGCACTCCAATTCAGGGAAACCGGTTCCCATTCTTCTTTTGGTCGCATTTCTCAGGATGGGAGGGGTGGTGACAAGTTCAGGAAACTGACTCCCTGCTGAGTGAGGCTTGGTTTTCTTTCTACTGATCCCAAAACCTTCACAGAAGCCTTAAGGGGCAAGTGGTGCAAAGGCGGGAGGGAGCTCAGTTGGCAACCTGCCCAGGCCCCACCCACACCCCAGCCCTCCTCACCTTGTCCTCGCCCACTCAGGCCAGCTCCTCTAGGAAGATCTCAATGAATTGGCTCTTCACCCCATTGGGGGCCTGGCTGTCAGGGTGCAGGATCTCAG